GGCATGGTGGCGTGGGCCTGTAATCTCAGTTGTTCGGGTGGCTGAAGCAGGATACTTGCTTGAACCCAGAAGGTGGAGGTTGTAGTGAGCCGAGATTGCCGCAGTGCAGCCTGGGCAACAGAGTGAGACTCTGTCTTAAGAAAAAAAAAAAAAAAAGAAAAGAGAGAAAAGAGAAAGAAAGAAGAGAAAGAAAAGAAAGAAATGCAGATTCCCAGGCCCGCAACCAGACCAGCAGAAGCTGAATCTGCTTTGAAACGATGCTCCCCTGTGGGAGGCAGATGCATTCTTAAGTTTGGGAGGCGCAGACACCCAGACCCCTTCTCCTGGGTTCACAGGTTGGGCGGTCAGGAGATCCTCTAGCCTGAGCCAGTGCGAGCTGCCCAGAGGCCTCTGGAGCCCCAGCTGTCAGCCCCTGGGCTCTGAACACCTGAGGGACAGCCCTGAGCACTGTCAGGACTCTGGCTGGAGCACAGCCCTGGCCCTTTGGCCCCAGGTGGTGTCGGATAACACGAAGTTTTCCCGGAAGCCGAGGGATCAGTCACGTCTGGAAGAGAAGATGGTGAACGCAGACCCACAAGACGCACAAGCAATAGAGAAACTAGCGACTTGAAAATGGGCTCCGTAAATGCTTTCCGAGAAGCCCGCCCGTGGGACTATGTTAGCTCAACTCTCCGAGTGCTAAGCGCGACCATCCAGTCCTTGGCGGAGTCTTGGTAGCAACTGTCACCATTCCTACTTGATCTCATTTTCCTGAGGATCTGGAGGGGATGGGCAGCGTGGACCCATTTCACAGAGGGTAGAGCGGAGACTCAGAGAGCCAGAGACTTTCCCCCGGGTCGCACGCTGGGGAGTGGTGTCAGAGCCAGGATTTGAACCTGGACTCTCTGACCTTGAGACCCCTAACCATTCCCATCCCGAAGGAGATCAGTCTCACGGAGGGGACACTCAGGACGGTCCCAGGGCTCGGGAGTGACTATGGTTCCACATACAGACAGGGGAAGAGGCTGGATCCCCGGGTCACTGTTCAGGGAGCACTGGTGTGGGAAGCAGATGGAGGGGGGCCATATCCAGGGGCCACTCAGTGGGCCCACTGACCTGTGAACCTGGAGAAGAGGGGCATCTGGGTGGGAGCTGAAGGGCCATGGGTGAGCCAGCACAGGGCACATCCGAACTGGGTGTCCCCTCGTGGGCTCCCGGGGCCTGGCCCAGGCTTACCTTGGAGGGAGGAGGTCCCCATCCCCTAGCACTCTATTACTGGGCTGTGGGCTGCTCACAAGTGACACACCATCACCCCTACACCAGCACATCTCAATGATCCCACTTCATTTATTACCAAAATATCACAGAATTCCAGTCATAGTTAACATACAGCGTTTAACACGAACCTGATACCTGCAGAAAGAACTGAGGATCCGGACAATTGAGTCGTTTGGAACTGTAAGCCACGCCCCAAACCGCATCACTCCGTACTTCAAAAATACGCTTTTTTGAGAGCTTTGGAAACTGAATTAAAATGTCTACACAGCTATGAACAATTGTTTAATAAAACTTTTTCATGTTTCCATTACATGTAAATATATCAATTTGGCATCTCTATAAAAACTCTGAAAATGGTGCAAAAGTTTCATTCTCTTTGAGAAAGCCATTGACAAAAAATATTCACACTTCACTAAAATTTTGAAAAATGGTCTTCTTTCAAAGTTTCTTTATTAATCTGAAGTCTTCTGGGTTATCAAAATCTAGGTTTGCTTTTTCCTCCTAAAACACTAAAGAACATTTATTCACAAGGATTAAAAATAAAAATAAAAAGGCAATGGGCTGATGGAAAACCGGTGAGGGCTTTTCTTTCTTTTTTTTTTTTTTTTCTGAAAATAATTTTAAAAACTTAAAAGTTACATAAGCATCTTCAAAAGAACACAATGGGATTCATTTTGTTGTTGACTTTTGGACACCAGTGTCAGACTTTATTGAAAACAAACCCATGTAAAAACAAAGTTAAAATGAAAAATGGCACCTGAAAAATAAATTATTTTATATAAAACAAATCAATAACTTAAAACACACTAATATACAAAAGGTCTAACCATCTACTGTACAACATGGGAATCGGTTAAGAGAGCCTCCCCTCCCCCAAAGCAAGTCACTGTAAACGGAACATCACATGGTCATGGTCAAAGAGGTGGCCCCAAACCAACGGAAAAGCCTTCTCTTCTAGTGGAAGAAAAATCCAGTCCTGTCAAAGTCTCCGTTAGCCAAACTTACGTACTGGCGGTGACTTACAAGCGAGAAAAAAAAAAAAAAAAAAAAAGCTTTTTTTTAAATGGCCAAGAAAAAAACCTGAATGATGTCACTGAAAGGTAGAAAAATAGGATCCGGCCATTAGAAGTCAGGGGAAATCAAAAGGTTTGGAAACGTGAACCCTGCCTGGGATCCGAGATTCAGATTCTACTGCCATCGTTACATGCCAATTGCCAATGCCACTCAAAAAAAAAAGCACTTGTGACTTCAGGGCTGTCTTGGGAAGTCTGGGGACAGGACTCCCTGACCCCCAGAGTCTGCTGAACCCCAGGGGTCTCTGCTAAGGAGCTGCCTCAGGTCCTAGTAGGTGAGGTAGGTCTGGGGAAGATGGGAGGGGATTGAGGTGGAGGGAGGGGTGGAGGGACAGACGATAGAGGCCTCCTGTCAGGTGAATTCTTATTCTCTTTCATCCAACACAGGAAGGCTGCGAAAAGCACATGGAAATAAAACCGGGCTGAATGGGATGTGAAATGTAACAGCTGAGTGATGTCAATTTTGATTTTCAAGTCCGATACCGGACTGGTTAAGTCATGTCTTTTCAATGCCTGGTGGACAAATGGCCTTCGTTTGGAGGCAAACTGGTCAAGGAATTGCCACTAACCGTCTTCGGGTGCTTCTGTTTCTCTGATCCAGCAGGGACCCCTGGGCTGCCAGCTCCAAAGGGCCGGCCTTGGCTCCCGACAGCAGCACGATTCAGTCCCTGGAGACTGGGTCTCCAGGACTAAGGCCAAGCGCAGACTCTCAGAGGTTAAGGCAGCTGCCCTTGGCCAGGAAAAGGTTCACCTTCCAGGAGAAGGTGGTGGAACCCACCCAGCACCACCTGCGGGCAGGCCCCTGAGGAAGTCCATGAATTTCAGGATATTCACGCAGGATAGTGGCCAAGGAGAGGACTCAGCACCCGGGAGGGAATCAGTCACAGAGCTGTGACTAGAGGCACAGCCAGCACAGAAAACTGTGGCTTGGCAAATCACACTGAAAACGAAATAATGGCAAAGCCAAGGGGGAACAAGGGAGAATTCATCAGGAAGCAGGTTCACAAATTCGGAGTTGCCTGGGGTCTAACTACCAGAGGAAGTTACACACAGGTCAAAAGGGAATTCAATCAAAGCCTCTTTGGTATTTCCCAAACCAGATTTTTGATAAATGAACATTATCTACTCTGAACGCTTTTTCATCGAAATTCCCAAATAAAAGGAGAGCACTCATTTTTGTTAACTATAAATACGACTCATCTACGTAAAATTTTTAAAGAAATGGTTTCTTTTGAGTTGTGCCTTTTTAAAGAAAAGGGATCTCCCCTTTGCAAACAGGCCTTGGCAAGATGTAATGAACTTGGAGGGCACAGGGCCGGCAACTAGAACCTTGATGGGAACAGAGATTGCTTTTCAGGAGTGACAGTTCAAAAGCTAAATCCTTCCACAAGCTTGCAAGTTAAGACTCCCAAATAAAGGCGTTGGAATTTTTTAGCTAGAAGGCTGTTAAAACAGTGGAGACCACGTACAATGAGAATGTTCCTGAACTGAGAAACTTCAGGGAACTCTCAAAGGCTCATACACTTCACAGTTTCTTCTCACCTGTCCCAGCATCAGAACAACTGATAGGATTCGGATAAAAAGGGGCGAGGAAAGAAGCTGAGGTGCTGGCTACAAGCCCGTCATCCTTTTCACAGTTGAAGCTTAAGACAGAGTTCTCTGTTGAATGCTAGCTACGGGCATGTATGGCAGTGAGACTCCAAGGGGAGTTTCAGAAGCGGGAATCCAGCCTTCCATCAGAAGATGTTGGCTCCCACCTTCCATCAGAAGGTGTTGGCTCCCACCTTCCATCAGAAGATGCTGGCTCCCACCTTCCATCAGAAGGTGTTGGCTCCCACCTTCCATCTGAAGATGCTGGCCTGGGGAAACCTGAAAGGCTTCTTTTTCCAGGAAAACATTCTGGTCCCAGGGTGGAGACTGCTCTCCGGCAACAGAGCAGGGACCCTCTTTTGTGTCGAATCTGGGCAAACGGGCCTCGGTTTTGGCTTAGGTTCCTGAGGATCTGGGATTCTGTGGGAGAAAGGAGGTCCTCTCTGGCACCAGGCCGACTTTTATGAGATGTGGCCTGGGTACAGATGGCAACATCATCAATTTGCAAGGATCGCGCACACAGCCCCTCGGTAAAAGATCAGGGAAAGGGGAGGGGATGGGCATCCTCAGTTGTCCAGGGGCCTCTAGAGACGCTGACCTGCTCTGGGGACAGTGGTGCCTGCCTATTGCTCCATTTCCCACTTCAATAAATAAATAAATAAATAGATCGGTATAAATAAACAGATAAATACAGCCGTCATCTCATGAGAGCAATAACTAAAAAACAGCCTACGGTCACGTTTTAGTCTCACGTCAAGGTTAAAAACTGCTGGTACTAAGTTATCCTGTTTGTGATTCTCTCTGTATACTATTTATAAATGCCAGATCCCAGTCCTGAGGAGTTTTGGGCGATCTGGCCCTGCCTATTTCACAGGCTTTCTCTTTCACCCTTCCTTCAGGCTCCCGGTTTAAAAGCCACCAGCCTGTAACTGCACATTCCTGCGTCACATATTCAGAAATGCTTTTGCTTGAGGCAAGTATTGGTTTCTTAAGATCTTACGACTCCTCCCTGAATGCTGGGCCGCCTGCACCTTCCCTAGCCAAAAAGAAAGAAAAGGTAAAATAAAAAACAAAACAAAATTCGAGCAAAACAAAATCAAATTTAATGGTCTTAAATGCAAAAGTAAAAACAAACAAAAAACACAAAAAAGCAAAAGAAAATTAACAGAACAGAACAACCCAAAATGTCAAGGCAGTTATGAAGAGAACTTTGAGGGTTAATCTTTAAAACTACAAATCAAAGGTTTTGGTTAATAGATAACTGGCAAGAAGTAAGTACTTTTCTGCTGAGTGTTCATACAAAAGCAAAATTCCAAAACAAAATGCGACTAAAATAGAAAAAGGTCTAAGCGCTCACGAGAAGGGATGCGAGAAATACAATGCTCAAATGTTTCTGTGTTATTAAAAAACAGAGCCATCTTACGCCTCCAAGCTATGTTAAATGCTCTGGAAAACGGGAGAAATTATCGTGGAACAACAGTATCCAATGTGTGGGGCGCTGTGCATGCAATGTGTGGACAGAAACTCGGGGCGTCAGAGTAGCAACACATCTTCAGGCGTGCCTGGAGCTTAGATCTAACTCTGGAATATACTGGAGTTTCCCTGAAACTCTTTGGTCCATTCCCATTGGTGCCTGGGCTTACGAAACACGTTTGTGTCCTTCTCTGGAGGGCCCGCCCGGCATGCGGCCCTCGGCCCCAGTGGTGGCCCACGCTGGACGGGCCCACCGCCATTCCCAGGACCACTTGGCAGAGCCCGGGACTGAGTGAGCAGGAGGTGGCAATGGGACCTGCCTGGAAAAGGAACTTCCTGTCAACCAAAGCATACATCGCTTACAATGTTGAAGCGGTTGAGAAAACGCACACTCAGCATCTGTCTAACATCTTTAGATTAAAAACTAAAACTAAAAGGTGATTTTTTTTGCTACCCAGTCTGTGGAGACATTGAATGAAACGCGTGTTAGACAGTCTTAGAGGTTAAAGCATGCTTCAGGTTCACCACCATCCAGAGGGACTGGTTAGTCAATGCAGTTCTACTTAGATTTCTGTTTAATATATATCTTAAAGGAAATAACTTACGAAACTTAAGATTGGTCTAACATTGTGGGATTTCAAACATTTGAACATGTCGGTTGCATCCCAGAGTATAAAAACCTTCTCACTTCTCATTCAGACAAAGACAAACACTTGTGAAAATTGGCGCAAAATGAGTTGTACACTAACAAGAAAAGTTTCAACTCCTTCACTCTTAATTATCTATTCCGTACAAAAAAAAAGCATGAGCGAGTTATTTGTGGGACTTGTTGGTTTTGAAGGAAACCTGTAAGATCTTGTCCCCCAGGCGGTAGCCGTTCAGGCTGGCTATGGCCATCGCGGCTTCTTCATAGTTTGTCATGGTCACAAAGCCAAACCCTTTGCACTTGTTGGTGTTGAAGTCGCGGATCACTTTCACATTGGTGACGGCGCCAAAGGGCCCAAACATCTGCCAGAGGATCCCCTCGTCGGCGTCCTGCCCCAGGTTGTAGATGAAAATGCACCAGCCGGAGGAGGCATTTCCGGGCACGTTGACACCAGAGAGCCCGCTCATGTGATCGACGCCCATGGGGGAGAACCTGGTGGACAGAGAGCAAGCGTCAGGCCACAGTCAGTGCAGGCGGCCTGGTGATGGGGCAAGGCCTGGACACATGCTGACCATGGCCGCTGGGCCCTATCCCGCTCTGCGCAGCCACGAGGTGCTCACAGTTGAGACACCTGCATGGGTCAAAACCATGACATTGTTTTAAACTGGGAGGAATTAAATACAGTAATGGAGGGGCAGGACCCTGTTCTATAGGGAGCTGACTCTGAGGGGCTGGTTGGTGACCTCCGCTCCTCCCACTGTGTATGTGGGGGTTTCTGTTTAGGGGTTCCTGCGGTTCCCCACATTTTAGATGATGGGCGCTTCTCCGGGTCCTCCATTGAGGGTAGAAACGCTCTGCAGGCGCGGACAGCCTCAGCTCTCCCTGGAGGAAACTCTCCTCGTACTGTGGGGTACGTGCAGGGGCTGAACTCCTTTTTCCAGATTTTGCACCTTCCCCTCATCATGACCCACCCCCAAGGGTTCATAGCCCAGTGGTCTTTGGTTAGAGCATGCCTTTGCCAGGGCCACTGTAGGGCCCAAGAATTCCTTCCCACGCACCAGGCAACCAACCTTCTGTGGCTGCAGTTCAACATCCCACGAGGGCCAGGGGCCAAACCACTGAGGGCTGAGAACTCAAGGGACAGGGAAGGGCCCTGGGACACCAGCAACTGCAGACTCACCAAACTTGACCACACACGTGGGGCTCTTTCCACAGTGATACTTTTATTTACATTTAAAAAAAAAGCCTTTCTGGGCCAGGCGTGGTAGCTCAAGCCCGGAATCCCAGGACTTTCAGAGGCCAAGGTGGGAGGATCACTGGAGGCCAGGAGTTTGAGACCAGCCTGGGCAACACAGAGAGACCCCATCTCTAGGAAAAAAACAAACAAAAACCTCATCAAACTAAAACCAAACTAAACAAAAATAAAGCCTTCTGAAAACGTACAGATGCCGTAATAAGGATTAAGGTAGATGACAAAACAGTTCCTAAAGCCATGCTTCCCTCTGGAACTTTCTCAAATTAAAAAAGTAAAAGTCTGAGGGTCAGTTTGGGAATATCTGAGTACCGTATATCTGCGAAGACAGCATCTGTGAAGCCGCACGATGCATGCAGAGAAGGATTTCCTGCTCCAAAATAAAACTGGGCTTCAGGCTATGGCCCTATCAGCTAAGGTAAGTGAGTGCCTTCAAGTGCCATTAAACCGATTCACCCTCTCAACAGACACAAGAGGACACCAGCTCCCACAGGGCAGCTCACTAGCCCAAGGGTGATTTTTTCTTTTTTTTGAGACAGGGTCTCACTATGTTGTCCAGTATGGTCTCAAACTCTTAGGCTCAAGTGATCCTCCTGCCTCCTGAGTAGCTGGGACCACAGGTGTGTGCCACCACACTGGGCTAATTTTTACATTTTTTGTAGAGACAGGGTCTATGTTGTCCAGACTGGTCCCAAATTCCTGGGCTCCAGTGATCCTCCTGCTTTGGCCTCCCAAAGTGTTGGGATTACAGGCGTGAGTCAATGTGCCCGGCCTTCTTAAGAATTACTCTTGTTGGTAGTTTTTCTCTTGCTGATTTCTCTGGTCTTGACAGTCATAAATCTCTCTTTTCCTCCAACCCAATTCTCCGGGGTTTTCTGGACGTGATAGGGACTGGCGGCAAACTCCCTGCAGTCTGGGTCTTTCTTCCTCCTCTTCTCTCAGCCTCCTGAGCAGATCCTTCCCTCTAGACTCTCCCGCCCTCCCCACTTCCTTCCATAACTTTGTCTTGGTGGTTGCCCTGCTACTCACTTTCCTGCTCGACCAGAAATGTCCACTCCTCTGGTTTCCCCTTTCTTTTCCCGTCCTCATTACCGGGACCAGAGTCCCATGTCTCCTCCTCCAACCTTCCCTGTCTTCCTTCCAGGCTAAGGAGCAGTTCACCCAACGCCACTGCCCATATAGCCCGCCCCATCAAGAGCAGTGCCAACTGTATGGTGGAATTCCTACAGCTGGATTTTAAAATTCAGCTCCATTCTGTCCAGAGAAGCTTCTCCAGCCTTGTCTTCAACCCAGAAACCTCAAGGCAGGCAGGCCAGCTTTGGAATTTGAGCCAGGCGGAGAATGCTGGGTAACACAGCCATGAGAATAACACCTCTCACAGCAGCATGTGTGGCAGTGGGCAGCGCCCACCCAGCCTCACTGTTAAAACAACGATGGGGCCGGGCTCACGCCTATAATCCCAGTACGTTGGGAGGCTGAGGTAGGAGGATCACTTGAGGCTAGGAGTTTAAGACCAGCCTGGGCAACATAGTGAGACTCCATCTCAACAAAAAATAAAAACATTAAAAATGGGATATCTATCCTTGTCATACCTGAGATAAGCCCTCGATGTCATTCCTTGAGGAACGAAACAAAACAGCCCTGACACTGAGACCTCTGCTGTTTCTGAGGCAACAGCACACCAGATCCTGGAGTCCAAGGCCCTGACTCTCATCACCTCTATCCCACTTCATCCTGGCAGCCAGACCCATTTTCAGGATGGAAAGACTAAGGAATCCAGGAAAACTGCTCCCATCTAGGACAGGGCTCATAAACAGAATGCATACTGATAACATTCACCAATACAAATGACTGCACAAGGCAGGTGTATGAAGAAAGTTTGCCTTAGGGCTGCTGATCATGTCTAGGAACTCTGGAAGATCTGCTCTCACCCGACTATACCTAAGACAGCATCTTTCCTCCCACAGATATGAGACGTTCATTATTCATTTACTTTTTAGAGACAGGGTCTCACTCTGTCACCCAGGCTGCAGTACAGTGGTGCAATCATAGTTCACTGCAGCCTCCACTTCCTGGGTTCAAGCGATCCTCCCGCCGTGGCTTCCTGAGTAGTTGGGACTAAAGGCCAGCACCACCACGCCGTTTTTTCATTACTTTTTGTAGGAACGGGGGTCTCACTTTGCTGCCCAGGCTGCTCAAACTCAGGGCTTCAAGTAATCCTCCTACCTCGGCCTCCTGATAGCTGAGATTACTGGTGTGTGCTCCCCGACACTGGGCATGAAACCATCTTTAAAGCTCGCTGCTCCGTTCTCCTGTTACTAGGAACTGCGTGTTGAAGCTCTAAGCGCTCACACTCAACTGGTGGGGACTGGTGCTCACGCTCACATAGCAACTGGTGGGGACTGGTGCCGTCTTTTTTTAAAAAAAAAAAAAAAAAAAAAAAGGTTCTGGCTCTGTGGCCCAGGAGTGCAGTGGTATGATCACAACTCACTGCAGCCTCAACCTCCTGGGCTAAAGCAATCCTCCCACCTCAGCTTCCTGAGTTGCTGCAACTACAGGAGCGCACCACCATGCCTGGCCAGTTTTGTATTTTTTGTAGAGATGGGGTCTCACAATATTGCCCAGGTTGGTCTTGAACTACTGGGCTCAATCGATCTTCCTCTCTTGGCCACCCAAGGTGCTAGGATTACAGGGATGAGCCACTGTGTCTAGCCTGGAGTCACTGTTTTGATTCCCATGAAAGACAACGCCCCATCGGAAGTAAACGGCTTTCCTACAGACACCTTTCTGATGAAATTGTGGTGCGGAGCTGCAGAATGATTCTGAAACGTGCTCTCTGGCAGGATCAGTCGAGCGTCCCCGTGGTTTCTATTCTGTGGCTGTGCCGTCGCCCACCAGCGGGGCTACGTATGGCTTTCAGGAGTGCGCACCCTCCCGACCCACCTGAATCTCTGCGCCTGGTGGTGAACGGGGCCTCCAAACCGTCGCGCTGGCGAGTGGTACAGCTGCGAGAGGAGTGCCACGTTTTTGTTCTGGTTGGGGTTGGCTGCAAACTTCACTGTGATGGGCTCAGAGGAACCTGGGGGTTTATGACCATTGAAACTGGTAATTGCCTCTTCTGCCTCCGACCGTTTGTCAAACCGGATAAACGCAACCCCTCTGGACAAACCTTTTTAACAAACCAACAAAAACGGAGTTAGGGGGAAAAATGCTAGGACTTTCAAAACTGAAAAGCAAAAGTCAGGTCAGTCTACTGTGGGCCAGGCTGGAAGTCTGGTTAAGGAAATAAACAAAAATTAACCTAAAAGTGAAAACAAATGGATGGAGTAAAGAAAACCAATGACTAACAGAAGATTAAAACTTCAGACTTTCTTCCCGGCTGAAGCCACGACTCCACGGTGTCAGCGCCCAAAGATATTTTGGTGACAGACATCCCCAATAGACACCCAAGCCTCTTATTTGGAAGAAAGCAACATTAGGAAACAGCATGTCCACCGTCACTATTTAGCTGCCAAATACCCACTACAGAGTGGGTGTGTGGGGTTGGTGGGTAACAGGGTCGGGGTGGGGACTGCGTCTGAGAGTTCCTCCCTGGGCTCTGGGGCCACCCTCCTGGCTGCTGTCTCTGGGGCCCACTGTGACAGCAGGCCTCGTGGCCGAGCCTCCTGTCAAGGTGCCCAGCTCAGCCTGCATGCCCTCTCCTTCATGCCAGGAGGGAGTGGGATCCTGTGGCTGCCCCCTGCCAGCTCTGTGCTGCTGCCGTCACCTCACTCCTGTCTTGGGATACTCCACTCTAAGGTCCTGCACCCTCCCATGGGCCCCAAATTGCCGTCAGAATCAAGTGAGGCCAGAACACTGCCCAGGCTCACACAGCAGAGCTGAACCTATCCACAGGCTCGCCAGGCAGGCCTGGGGTCCCTGTGTGGGAAAGGCCAGGGCCCCAGCAGCCAAGCCCAGAGGGCACCTTCTCTTGCTACCTCAACTGAGCCACCCAAGGGCCAGTCCCAGGTTCTAGGCTGAACCCAATCCCTGGACGGGGCAGCGTGAGACCTGAGGCCCGTCCTACTGTGGGTAGCATTGGTGTGAGACGCTGAGCAAGGTGGGTGGAAGGAGAGCGTGGCTGTCCTCCACCCCTGCCTGTCCATACGCTAGGCCCGGGAGGGAAACATGAGTAGCCCGTCCCTTGAAGAACCTGGGGAGTGGGCTGGGAACTGGATGAGGGGATGGGGGTGAGGGCACACTGAGCAGCGGACTAGCTCCTTCTCTTGGAGCGAGGACACGATGGGGTCAGGGGAAGGCCTGGGGATCGGAGACGTGACAGCTGAGGGCCAGTCTGAGAGTGATGTCGCTAGGTGGGAGTCGTGGGTGTGTCCCAGTGGGAGAGGCGGCCGCAGACAACCCAACCCAAACACCCTACTTCTCAAGACTTTTAGTCAAGCCAGGCCAAGGCTCGTGCCTGTGGTCTCAGCTACTCCAGAGGCTAAGGCAAGAGAATCGTCTGAGGCCAGGAGTTCAAGACCAGCCTGGACAACATAGTAAGATCTCATCTCTTAAGGAAAAAGAAAGACTTCCAGTCAAAGGGTGTCTTAAGTCAGGTTTCTTCTCCAGGCAAAGGCCTCTGGCACATGGTAATGAACAATGACCAAAGTCAGGCAGCCTGGAGCCGTGGGTGACCTGTCCAGCAGGCACCCAACTGTCCCCATGTCCTGTCTCCACGTCTCTTCCGGCACCTTACTCCACCACTTTCCAGAGGGTCCTACCAGCTGCCCCACAATCGCGACACTGCAGGTCACACGTGAGCACACAGACAGCAGCCTTAGTAAGGTCAGACCTAGCGCTACACACATGTGCCAGGAATATTCTGGGGCTCAAGCTCATTTCTGAGCTGCTGCTCAGAAGGAACACCTGAAAACATAACCCTGACAGACGCTGTTTTCTTTGACTCTCTCACGACACGAATGACAGCTTAGTCAGTCCTGGAAACCTAAATGAAAATCTAACTTTAGGCAAATACGACTGAGAGCTGACGCTGGCCGGCTCGTAGGGAAGCTGGCTCCAAGCAGATGGCTTCATTCTGTTTCTAAAGACCTTGCGGCACAGCGGAGAGAAGGCATGCGTGCAAGTGTGGGCTCCTCTGGTGTTGTCAAGTGGCTTTCAAATGCAAACTGCCTGAGTGAAACGAAGAAAACTCAAGTAAGCGGGGCAGGAGCGATGCTGTTTAACACAGGGGGATATCAATTCACTCAATTATGTAATGGATGTATACTTTCTGAAGATGGCTCTGCATTTTTTTTTTTTGTCTTCCCCTAGTGTTTTTTATTTTTAATTTGTCTTTAAGATGGAGTCTCACTCTGTCACCCAGGCTGGAGTACAATGGCACGATCTCAGTTCACTGCAACCCCCACCTCCCTGGTTCAAGTGATTCTCCTGCCTCAGCCTCCCAAGTAGGTGGGACTCCAGGCACCTGCCATCATGCCCGGCTAATCTTTATTTTATTTTATTTTACTTTATTTATTTGAGATGGAGTTTCACTCTTTTTGCCCAGGGTGGAGTGCAATAGTGGAATCTCGGCTCACTGCAACCTCCGCCTCCCAGATTCAAGTGATTCTCCTGCCTCAGCCTCCCCAGTAGCTGGGATTACAGGTGCCTGCCACCAAGCCTGGCTAATTTTTTGTATTCTTAGTAGAGACAGGGTTTCACCATGTTGGCCAGGATGGTCTTGACCTCTCGACCTCGTGATCCACATGCCTCGGCCTCCCAAAGTGCTGGGATTACAGGCGTGAGCCACTGCGCCTGGCCTATTTTTAGTAGAAATGGAGTTTTGCCATGTTGGCCAGGCTGGTCTCGAACTGCTGACCTCAGGAGATCCACCTGCCTCGGCCTCCCAAAGTGCTGGGATTACAGGCGTGAGCCACCGCGCCCAGCCCCCTTGTGTTTTTTAGAATTTAACAGCAGAGTCCAAGAAACAGCATAATCTCCAGATGAACACACTATAACGTTCACAATTAAGATGGATACAGAAGCAAAGGAATAAAAAAAAATTAAGCTGTTTCAGCTCAAGATGGGATTTTTTTCTCTTTTTTTAAAAAAGAGTTGGGGTCTCGCTATGTTGGCCAGGCTGTTCTGAACTTCTGGGCTCAAGCAATCCTCCCACCTCGGCCTCCCAAAGTATTAGGATTACAGGTGTGAGCCACCGCGCCCAGCCATCCTCGTCTATTTAACACTGAAAAGCCCATCGCAGGAAGGCAAACTCCACACAGGCTGGTTTGCCACACACTTCTCTTCCCTGCTGTCCGCCTTGCGCCTCATGAGGTCCCAGGAACAGGCACCCTCTGTCCCCAGCAGAGGGAGCCATAGCCCTGGGATGGGAGCCTCACCTTCCCACCAATTCTGTACCCTGGGGTGGGAAGCAGAGCCAGGGAGACCCTCCTGGCTCCCTTCTCTGCCTCCTTCACCCCTCTACAAAGATGCCAAAGGTTGCTTATGCCACCTTGAGGTTCACAGCTGACCTGGCGGGCGATACTGAGGTGCCCCCAACACCCTGGGAGACACTACCTTGCAGAGGGAAAGGAAGCAATGCCCCCAGCAGCTGTGTGCAGAGGTGAGTTCCCCCTGCCTGTGGCCTGTGTGTGCCTGAGAGACTAGGGAAGGCCCCGGGAGAGTTGGGTGGCTGGAGGCATGCTCTCAGGCACTGGGGGCTCCAAGTGGAGTGTAGGCTCCCATCATCAGGACCATACTGGACAGAGAGAGGCCGAGGCAAAGCCGTGCATGTGGGGTCTAGAGGAGGAGGAGAGTGGACTGTGGGCCGGCGAGGTCAGCTTCCCCAGCCCCGGGCCCTGCGCAGCCAGTTCAGATGCCATAATGCAAAGTGGGGGGCAAGGAACCCACACACTGGCCCACCGACAGGATCGTTCTTTCAGCTAGCACTTGAAAGTAAGTGAGGGGACTTCAGGAACCACAGGAGATTCTTCTGGTACAAATCAGGGGAGTTTACACCAAGTAACTGGCATCCCCCGACCCTCTCCCCAGAGCGAAGACAGAATAGAGGCGGCCGTGCGAGTGAGCCCCGTCCTTCGGCACTGCTGGGTGCCAGGGCACGAGTCTGTGCTAGGCTACAGGCAGCCCCCAGAGCCCCTGTGAAGTGCACAGGGGCCCTTCCCCTCCTCGGGCCCCAGCGGGACGGAAGGCCGGCAGCAGCAGGGCCGGTGCGTGCCAGGTGGGGTTCCCACAGCCGGCCAGGAGGGAGAGAGACTGATAAGGCCGCCCACCCCAAAGCACGCAGCTCAGGGGATGCAGGACGATGTGCATGCCCCTCCAGCCTGCAGGCCAGGAAGGCCCCACCTGTGTGCACATGAAAGGCAAGGCTCTGGGCTGTTGGGGGAGTGCTGCTGTTCTCCCGAAAAGAGGTCACCTCAGAGCACGACTTCCTGTGGCCCGACTACTCGGTGTTATTTCAACATCACAGCCAAGGTGGGGCACAGTCTGTGTGGGAGGAATATGAAAACCACCCATAAAACGAACGCACAGGCCTCACTGGGCTTGGGGAGCGGACTCTTCCCTCCTGGTTGGTCAGCACACTCCTGCTCCTGCCCCAAACAGAGCTAAGCGATTCTAAATCCCCTCAGGGTGGCCCGAGCTCCCCATCCCCCAGGCGGGGCCACATGCAGGGCTTGGCAAAGGATGTGGTGGTGCACTGGTTCCCAGCCTAGTGCGGCAGGCGGGCCGGGAAGTGGGGCCGGAGCACAGCCGTGGATGTGCACATGTCCCCTGCTCATCTCTGCCTGATGGCGTCACACAAAGCCCCATGCCCATGTCCAATGGCAAGACAGCATGGAAGGGCCAGCAAAGTGGCCAGGATTGCCTGCCCATTAGAGGAATTCACTGCCATGTGCTCTGTGCATTTTAGATGTGCTCCCCAGAGAAGGGCATCCGAATTCTGGGGATTTGGGCCATCAGACTACTGCACCCCAAATGCCTGCAATGAAATTCACAGTGGACAAATGTGTAGCAGCCTTTTTTTTTTTTTTTTTTTTTTTTTTTAAAAAAAAAAGAAACAGCATCTTGCTCTGTTGCCCAGGCTGAAGTGTAGTAGCATGATCACGGCTCACCACAGCTGTATACTCCTGGGTTCAAGCAGTCCTCCCGCCTCAGTCTCCTGAGCAGCTGTGATGACAAGCCCACACCACCGCACCTGGCTACAGTATCCTTTATTTTTTTTGAGATGGAATCCTGCTCTGTTGCCCAGGCTGGAGCTCAGTGGTGCAATCTCGGCTGGCCGCAATCTCCGCCTCGTGGGTTCAGGCGATTCTCTTGCCTCAGCCTCCCGAGTAGCTGAGATTACAGGCACCTGCCACTATACCCGGCTAATTTTTGTATTTTTAGTAGAGATGGGACTTCACCATGTTGGCCAGGCTGGTCTCGAACTCCTGATCTCAGGTGATCCATCTGCCTCGGCCTCCCAAAGTGCTGGGATTATAGGCATGAGCCACCACACCCAGCCTGCAGTGTCCTTTTCACCCCGTTCATGGGCAAGGCCAGGAATTTGGGTGCTTGAGGGAAGGTGCTAGAATCTCTTGGTGTCTTCACCATACATGAAACGCTGGCCTAATCCCCGGCCTTTTTTTTTTTTTTTTTTGAGACGGAGTCTTGCTGTGTCACTCAGGCTGGAGTGCAGTGGCATGATCTCAGCTCACCGCAACCTCCGCTTCCTGGGTTCATGCTATTCTCCTGCCTCGGCCTCCCGAGTAGCTGGGACTATAGGCGCCCACCACCATGCCCACCTAATTTTTTGTATTTTTAGTAGAGACGGGGTTTCACCATGTTGGTCAGGCTGGTCTCGATCTCCTGACCTCATGATCCACCCGCCTCGGCCTCCCAAAGTGCTGGGATTACAGGCGTGAGCCACCACGCCCAGCCATCTCCAGCTTCTTTTAATGCCATCTTACCTCCTCAGCCTTCTCAAACCAAAGTCAACGTCTTCTCATTTTGGTGTTGTCCTCTTTTGCAGAATAACTAATGACATTTAAAATCAAACAGTGATCTGCCTTCCCTAGAAAACCCAGCCCCCACCTAGAGAACACCCTCCCCACACATCTCGGGCCCCTCTGGTACCTGTGGTCTGATCCACGAGGACTCGTGAGTTGATGATCCGCCCAAACCGAGAGAACATGTCCTCTACGTCCTTCTGGGTCATGGTCCGAGGGAGCCCGCTGATGTACAAGTTGGCATCTTTGATGACCTCTGAGCTCGGGCGAGCATACGACACCTTGAGAACACAACCACTTTCTGAGATTAGGACAGGTACGTGGCCAAAGCACTGAGGAAGGTGCTAAATTTTAGGTTAGGAAAAGCCAACACTGTGTGGTAAGAATTCATGCAAGGAACGATTATCATCACTGACACTCACCACCTGCAGCCGCATGGTGGCAAGCTCACTGCGTGATGGGCCGTGAGCCGGGGTGCCTGGCAGCGCTTCCTCACTGGGTGCTCACCATCCTCAAGGAGGCAAGTGTGACTCCTATGTCACAAAGCCCAGCAACTGAGGGCCTGACGCTTGTGGGTGGCTACCTCTCTGATGTGCTGGACAATGAGCCAGTGCCAGAGATAGGTCCTGGTGCCCGAAAGAAGTCCGTGCTGCAGCGGGCAAGCAAGCTGGGAGCTACTGGGAGCGCACGAGACTCCACGAGACGCCCCTGCCAAAGAGCAAGCTTGCCACGGAAGCCCTGATGGAGGACCCCGAGTTTGTACTCAAATCCACTCAAGGATTCAATATTAAATGACTCAACACCTTTTGGATTTTTATTTTGCAAACTCAAAGAAAACTGAAGAGAACCTTCTGGATACTTTGTCAAAATGGTACATTCATCATTCGTGTGGAGAGGGCAGTGAGGGGAGCCCGCAGGCCGATGCAAGACAAGGCCTTCAGTGCTTTCTCAGGTTGGCGCTGACAGCCGTGCAGACCCCACGGGCCCAGAAGGAGAAAAAGGACCATGGCGGGGCCGGGCACGGTGGCTCACGCTGTAATCCCAGCACTTTGGGAGGCCGAGGCGGGCGGATCACAAGGTCAGGAGACCGAGACCACGGTGAAACCCCATCTCTACTAAAAATACAAAAAAAATTTAGCCGGGCGCGGTGGCGGGCGCCTGTAGTCCCAGCTACTTGGGGAGGCTGAGGCAGGAGAGTGGTGTGAACCTGGGAGGCGGAGCTTGCAGTGAGTCGAGATTGCGCCACTGCACTCCAGCCAGTGGGACAGAGTGAGACTCCGTCTCAAAAATAAAAAAAAAGGACCACGGCAGAACCCCTCTGCCTGTGAAGGGGCAGCCTGGCAGGACTCACAGCCTCATCAGCAGGCTGGGATATGGAGGAGTGAGCAGGAGCAGAGGGAGCAGGAACAGAGGGAGCAGGAGCTGTGTGCCCGGGAAGGGTGGGGACTTGAACCTGTGCAAAAGGAGTTCGTTCCCTTTGAGGGAGGGGCACAGAACTGATGAGCCAAGGTAACTGAGACCAGAACGCAGGGAGAAACCGCCACTCAGGAGTCACTGGGCAGAATCTGTGTGCCGAGAACACACAGCATCCTCTGAGAAGCTCCTATCATGTCCCAGAGAAGGAACGACAGACATTGCCCCTGCTCACAGGGCAGCGGGCAGCCCAGCAGGGGAACAGGAGAGCCCCATGAGGAGAGGAGTGTGGGGCTGGAGGCCAGCTCCACCCGGTAGCGGTGGGAATCGAGGGAGCATGTCACTACGGGGCCCAAGAGGTCTCTGGGGAAGCCGTGCTGCTCCCAGGCCCGGGGCACCTCCATCAGCCTGTGGGCAGGAGCTCTGCGGACACTTGGCCACCCCACAATGTGGGTCAGGGGCTGCCAGTGCTGTCCCCAGAGAAAAAGAGGCTGCCTGGGCCCCCAGCCTCCCCTACAGTGTCCGGGCCTGCCCTGGCTTGCTGCAGACCCGTCTGGACTGGGGCAGTATTTGGGGACCTGCCAAACCGTGACCCTGGTGCCGGTGGAGCAGAGCTGAGGCTGTCACTGACTGGACCTACTGCCGTCCCTGGATGAAGCCCCAGAGGAGAAGCGCCCTAGAGCCAAGTGCTGGGGAAAGCTCTGATGCCTCCCAAGGACAGGTGTCTCCAAGGACCATGGGAACTCCGCTTTCCTCTTCTCTCTGGACATGGTCACATTCAGTCAGGCTAGAATCAGAGCAGCTGGTGCAGAGCAGGTGTGCACTGACCTGGGGATCCCCGGCCCCTCGGCCAGAATCCTCTTTCCTAAGCTCCCAACATCGCTTGCTCTTTGGCCTCAATCGGGTCTTTTTCTGGCTGCCAATGCTCAATAATTCATCCAGTGAGGGGTTCAATCGTGTTCCCCCCACCCCACAATCCAAATTCATAGCCGAAGTCCTAACCCCTTGGGACCTCAGAACGTGACCTGATTTGGATATAGTCATTGGGGGTGTAATCAGTTAAGATGAGGTCACACTGGTATAGGGTGATCTCTAATCAAATGTGACTGATATCCTTATAAAAATAAGGGAAATTTAGGCCAGGCGTGGTGGCACAGGCCAGTAATCCCACTGTTTTGGGAGGCTGAGGTGGGAGGATCGCTTGAACACAGAAGTTCAAGACCAACCCAGGCAACATGGCAAGAACCCATCTCTACAAAAAAACAAAATTAGCTGGTCATGGTGGCACACACCTCTAGTCCCAGCTACGCAGGAGGCTAAGGTGGGAGGATCGCCTTAGTGCAGGAGTTTGAGGCTGCAGTGAGCCGTGATCACACCACTGCAGTCCAGCCTGGGTGACTGAGTGAGGCCCTTAAAAAAAAAAAAAAAAAAAAAAAAGCTTTTTTTTTTTTGGAAAAAATAAATTCAATTTAGAAAGGCAGGAAATGTGGATACAGGCACTCACACAGGGAGAAGGCTGTGTGAAGACAGACGCAGAGACTGGGGTGATGCTTCTCTAAGCCAAGGAATGCCAGAGACCGCCAGCTTCCACCAGAAGCTGTGAGAGAGGCCTCTTGGACAGATCCCTACCCAGTGCCTTCGAGAGAAACCAACCCTGCTGACACCGTGGTCTTGGGCTTCCAGTCTCCAGAACCCTGAGTCAATACTCTTCTTCTGTTGAAGCAACCTGGCCTGTGGGGCTTTGTCATGGCAGCTGAGCAAACTCCTGACCACTCAGCTTGCCACAGATCCCTCCACTGGCATCAATGCCCAGTTCCTCCTCTCCCTATTTACTTCTTGACTGCATTGATCATGACCTGACACGCTACATATTTTATTTACTTTTTTAGCTTTTTTTGTAGAGACAGGGTCTCGCTATGTTGCTCAGGTTAGACTTGAACTCCTGGGCTCAAGTGATCCTCCTGCCCCAGCCTCCCAAATGGCTTGGATTACAGGCATGTGCCACCCTGCCTGGCATCTACTTTATTTATTTAACTTTTAACTTTGCAAACAGACTCTGTGAGGGCCAGACTTGTGTGTTTCCTGCCACATCCAAAGCACTCAGAGCAGCCTCTGGTGAACGGTAAGCACCTGGGGACTGCTGCTGTGTGAATGGAGTGCGCAGCTGCCGCTGCTGTGAAGAATGTCTGCCTATCTGCACTGCAGTCCCCAGCGCTGGCTTCTGTGGGTGACAGGAGTTTTGCTGTTCTGGTTCCTGAGGCTTGGTTCTCACAATGTGCTAGGGAAGCCTCCAGGTGACGTTAAGTGCCTGTAGCCACACAGAGCACCTGGTTTCACACCCTGGCTTTGCCCCCCCATCCCTCCGTGACCTTGGCAGAGCTGTTTCACAACTGGAAACATCAGCTTCTTCAACCCAAATCTGGGGACCATTTTCTATGGGGCTGTGGAGAGGGCACGTGAGACACGGGATGGAAGGTCTGGCCTCCCGTCAGCCTTTGGTAAACACCGGCTGTGTGTGGCATACGGGACCCGGCAGTGACGCAGAGCTGCACACAGAGACCGCGGCGTCCCGGCAGGGACACCGAGCTGCATCTGGGACATGCTCAGCCGGCTGCCTCCATGCAGGACCACTCCCACTGTGGCTGCTTGGGCTGCTACTACGGGGAAAAGATAGATAGGGATGAGGAGACAGGACTCCTCCCTCTCCACTCTGCCATCAAGGGAATGACATCAGGACCAAAGAGGACAGAGCGGACAGGGTGAAAGTAAGGGCATGTCTCGGCTGTCTGTGCAGGGCTGGGGCCTCAGAGCCCAGGGTGAGCACAAGGCTCCAGGAGGCCCTGCCTGCAGGGCAGGAGTGGGGCAGAGGCTTGGGGCCAGCCTGCAGTTCCCAGGATGTGCCTGACCACTGGGTTTCCTCTAGGATGTGGCCCTTGCCTTGTGCCCCTGTAGGTCCTGCTGCTCAGAATACCCTCATCCCCACCCTGGCCTGGCTAACTCCCTCTCCTCCTCCAGATCTCAACTCTGGCTTTCTTGAAGGAGCCTCCCCTGGCACTGGCCACTATTATAGGCTCCTGAGCCCACCCTGGGACCACCTTACAGTGAATAGTGGGCACCGCTGGGCTCCCCGAGGGCGGACCATGGGGCAGGGACCCCCAGCCCCTGGCAGAAGGCTTGGCCCCAGCCCATATTGTCCGTCATAAAGGATTTGTCTAGTCTCTGTCCCAGATTCTTAGGAGAGAGTTTGTAAAACTTCTGGAATTTCTGTCTTTGTTACCGTGAGGCCTTCGATCCCACTTGAGTTTGTGCTAAGTGATGGCTCAGGATAGGCCCCAGCACCAGAAAGACCAAGCATGTGACTAGAGGGCTGGGGCTCTGAGCTGGGCGATACCGGCCTGACCTCCAGGGTGGGGGAGGGGAAAAGGGTGCTGGGGATGGAGTTCCATCACATGGCCGAAGAGTCAATCGGTCATGCATTCGTAATGAGCCCAGTAAAAATGCCAGACACCAAAGCTATATGGAGCCTCCCGGCAGGTGCGCAGGTCACATGCAGGGAGGACAAGGCACCTGATCCCACCAGGTGCAGACATGTGAGCTCTGTGCTTGGGACCCTTCCTGTGTGGCTCTTCATTTGGCATGCCCTGAGTTGCAACCTTTATAAACAAACTGTCATCAGAAGCGTGGGTTCCAGGAGTCATTCTAGTGAGTCATGCACCCTGAAGGGGTGGTGGGAACCTCTGAATTTGTAGCCAGTTGGTCAGAAGTGCAGGGGCCTGGGGACCCCCAAAGGGTGACTGGCATCTGAGGTGAGGGCGGTCTCATTGGAGACTATGGCCTTAAATGTGCGGGGGCTGTGCTAACTCTGGGTGACTGGTGTCAGAACAGAACTGCAGGATACCAGGTGGCATCAGACCAACATGGAAAAAAAAAATCCAGGATGAGTTGAACGCACAACTCCATCCAGGCCCTTATGACGCTGCACAGATGAACCACCCTTAAACTGGGGAGGGCAGGGGATCCGAAGTCCCTCAGTATCGAGGTACCTGGACCAGCACCAGACACTGGCCAGGGGCTCAATAAAGGTTTGCAGAATGAACACACTTGGAGCACAGAGGACCCCAGGGCTGCGCCAGGGGAACTGCTAGAGAAGCCAGGCCCAGGCAGCCTCGGGGAGACCTGGGGAGAAATTACTGAGGGCTGTCACATCCCCATGAGGCTGGCCTGTTTCTGCAGAACTAGGACAGTGGTGGGAAGCCACTGAGAACCAGACTCTGCCGGCAGAGGGCAGGGCCACCGAAGGTGAGGTAGGCTTCTGCACGCATGGCCGGGATGACGGGGAGGGACACCTGCCCAGGCCTGAGCCCCTGGTGTTCTGTGAGGCTCTGGCTCCAAACTCAGGCAGCCACACCAGCCTTTCCCGCCAACATCAATCCTAGAGAGGCAAGAGAGTCCTGTTTACGCACTGGGCACCCGGCTCTTGCATTTGAGTAAACAGAACAGCTGCGCAGGAATAATCAACGGTTCTGCTCCACACCTCCGCCTGGCTGGGCTGCCTCAGAAACAAGAACCTTCAAACATTTTCTAAATGGAGAAAAGAATTCCTAGATGGGGAGTCCAGGGCCAAGAATAAGCCACCCAGGGCTGGAGGTGATTCCAGAAGGGCCGCCCCTGCTCAGGTGGAAACCCATGGCGCTTGGCTGCCCTCAGCAGCCCCCACCAGGGAAGGTACCTCTGAGGACCTGCGCTGGATATGAGGATGCAGGAGTGGCACGCCTGCCCTCGGGGAGCCCACTGCACACAACACCCATGCAGCACGGGGCAGGTCTGGAAGAGCTGCTGTTGAGCGAGGGTTTGGCCCCTGAGTAACCAAGATTATGGGGCAGTCTGAAGGCAGGGACAAAGGCCACCTCTTGGCTGAAGGTGCTGCCACTGCCAGGTCACAGGACCCCTCTTGGTGGGCAGGCAAAAACCCAGGCTCCCAGGCCGACCCTGCAGCGACTCAGGAGGCCCCCCGCAGCCTGGGAATCTATATTTCACAGCTCCCCAGGGGCCCTGATCATTGGTGCGGGTCCAAGAGGGACCCTTCTGGGCGACCGATGTGACTCAGGGAGCACCTTTCTCTGGGGCAGGAGCATCTAGCAGATCTAAAGGCTCACAGAGGACCACCTCATTCCAAATGGCCTCGGAGCAAGAGAGAGGATACTGGCCAGCAAGCTCTCACGTCTGTGGGTACCCTGTGAAGGCCGGCACTGAGGGCGGGTGGGTGCAGTGGCTGCTGCAGGAAGCTCAGTTGCAGGGGCCTGCCTGGGACACGGGAGGCTTAGGGAAGGCTCAGCAGCACCCAGGACTGACAGGAGACCAGGGAGCAAAGGTCAGAAAGACACGAGGCTTGATCCAGATGGCAGGAGCTGCCCACGAACCCAGGAGCCAGAAGGCAGACACGTGCAGACGGGGGTTAAGTGGGGTTCGGGGTTGACAGCCCCAGGGCACGAGGGCACGGGTCAGATGATGAAGACAGAGGAAATCCATCTGTGTGACCTGGAGGACCTGTGACTCATCCCAGGAAGCCACCATGGCCCTGCTGGAGGTGCCACCCCTGGGTTGCTGCACAGTTGGCTTCCTCTAGTCACCTGCCACTGTGAAGCTTCCACACACGGCAACCGCCTGTCACACATGGCTATCCTCTGTCTTGTTTACTGTCTACCCCCGACCCATGGGGGCACTGAGTTTGTCTGTTTTGGTCACTGTGGGGCACACGGTAGGTGCTGAGTGAGGTGCTGGGTGAGAGAAGGGTTACAACTGGCCCCAGGGAGCGCAGAGGGAGCGCTGGGCGAGTTGGGAGTGGATGGAGCTGTCCAGGGATGGGAACACAGCAAGTCAGGCAGGAGAGACGACAGGGGAGGCCTGGGAGCTGATGCAACCTGGGGGCACCCTGGGTGGGGAGTTGGCCCTGAACCACCCATGTAAGGCCTGGGAGGGTCACCACCTGACCAGGGTATCTGATGGGAGCCCCCAAGGAGGAGTGGCTGTGCTCATAGTCCCTTGGAGAGTGACTGTGAGGCTGGGCGGGGCTCAGCACAGACCTGTGTCTAGGGCAGGAATGGATGCGGTGATGATCAGATCCTTAATGGTTTTACCTTAATGGTTTTTGACTGGAGCCTCAAGCCGTTCAGCGTGTTGATTGCTCTCTCTGCATCCTTTGCGGTCACGTAGTTCACAAAGCCATAGCCCAAGCTGTGTCCTGTGCGGGAGAACACAAGGACATTGGTAAGCTGACCGTCTGCGAGTGAGGGACAGGGAGGTCGGGAAGTACTTTATCTGCCAGGCCTTTGGGAAATGCGATTACAGGTGCTAGCAGACTTTCTTACTTTGGCAAACACGTACATTTTCTGCAATAGACACAGGTTACTTTTTTTTTTTTTTTTTGGAGATAGGATCTTGCTCTGTCACCCAGGGTAGAGTCCAGCGCTGTGATCACAGCTCACTGCCACCTCAGATTCTTGGGCTAGAGCCTCCCACCTCAGCCTCCAGAGTATCTGGGACTACAGGCCCACTCCGGCAGGCCCAAGCTAATTGTTAAAATTATTTGTAGAGATGGGGTCTCACTATGTTGCCCAGACTGTTCTAAAACTTTTGGGCTCAAGCAATCCTCCCACCTCGGCCTCCCAAAGTGTTGGGATTACAGATGTGGGTCACTACGCCTGGCCAAGAGGTTTTATTTTTGTAATTAAAATAACCCCAAAAGTTATTTAAAATGGAATATTTTTTAAAAATACTGTGCTACGGACAGCATCTTTCTGAATGACCAGTCCCGTGGGTGCCAGCCACTCTGTGGACCTGGGTGGTGAGGAAAAGGAAGACCATGGCAGTGGACAGGCTGGTGGACCCCAGTTTGTGTCACTGCTGTTTCTCTACCACTTCCTTGTCCAGAGCAGGAGGGTCTGCTGGCACCACCCAGCACCAGTTCCATTTACCTTCCCAAGCCTGAGACCAGCCCGACCCTGCTGTGGGGCAGAAGAGGACGGAGAGCCCAAGGAGAGGCCAGGGGCTGAGAATCCCCAGCCCCGCCGGACAGTGGGGGAGAACCAAGGTCACGGGCAGATGTCCCTGCACCCCCTTTGTGAAACACTCAGCCAGGTACAAGTGAATACCCACTCACTGGACACCACGAGAGGGACTCGGGATGGCAAGGGCAAGACCAGAGGAAACAGCCTCTGAGGTCAGGGTTCAGAAGGAGCTTCATAGGACATTTGGCTAAACGCTCTCACTAAAGGGGAAGTGAGGAGGCCCAGGGAAGAGCGCAATCCCCGCCTCCCCCCAGCATATCCATGCACTTGCAACGCTGCTGAGCACCTGCTTTGGCCGGAGCCTCACCCGGCACTGCTCCACTCCCCCAGCCAGCAGAGCACCACAATGAGCAGGCCACCGAAGAGGAGGCCTGGAGCCCCACTGCGGCAGAGATCCTCTTTGCAGCTGCGCCAGGGGCATCCAGACCCATCTCACCCACAGCAAGATTACAAATCCAGCAGAGAGCCTAACCCAGATTTGCCACTTTCTTTTTAAAATGAATTTTATTTTTCAGAACAGTTTTAGGTTTACAGAAAAATTACAAGGATAATACCAAGTTCCCATACGGCTCCCTCCCAGTTTCCCTATCGGTACCACCGCGTGTGAGTATGGAATGCTGGTGATGATGAACGTTCCCATTAACTCTGGTCCATGCCCCATCCGCTTCCTTAGTCTTTCCCTCATGTTTTTTCCTGCCCCAGGACCTCATCCAGGATCCCATGTGACACTTAGTAGTCACATTCCCTCAGGCTCCTCTCGACTACGACAGTTTCTTGTTTCTCGTGACCTTGACGGTTTTGAGGACTGGTCGGATATTCCATAGACTCTCCATCGGGTTTGATGGAGTCTCTGTCATGCCTGGAGTGGGGCTGCGGGTGTTGGTGCAGAAGAGCACAGCTGGAGTGCCCTTCTCATCACACTATGTCAAGGGCACAGGCCGTCAACGTGACTTATGGCTGCTGGTGCTGACCCTGATCACTCGGCCGAGGCAGTCAGTTTGCCAGGTTTCTTCGCTGTAAAGTGACTCCCACCCCTTTCCACACTGCCCTCCGCGGAAGGAAGTCAGGACGCCCAGCCCACACTTAAGGAATGGCCCTGATGTAGCAGCTACAGAAATGACATGCAGCTAGTTCTGCATGGGGCACTCTCTTTCCTGACGAACAAAACCAAAATCAGATCCTCTAGACCCGTATTTCTAATAAAACTCCATGGGGCTAAGAGACTCAGCTCTGGGGCCCTGGACAAAGGGAGAACCCAGAGCACCAAGACTGCAGGACCAGGCCCACGTGGAGCGAACTGGGATCGTAGCTCAGAGAACAAGCAGCGCAGCAGCGCGGCCAGGTCGGGACTGCCAGGGCCTCTGCAAGCGCTCCAGACGGCAGTGTAAAACTGGCAGGTGCCCCTGCACCCACTCTGTGACACACTCAGCACAGGTACAAGCGAACACCCACTCACTGGACACCACGGGAGGGACTCGGGATGGCAAGGGCAAGACCAGAGGGGACAGCCTCTGGGGTCAGGGATTCCTGTGATATGGATTCTTGACCACAACGTCAGCCTGGCTGGGTTTTTTTCACTCCTGAACACCTGCTCTCCAATTGCTCAGCGCCATCTACATTCGGGCCCCATCCTTCTGCTCCATCCACAAGCCTGGACCACTTGCCTCCTTGGCTGCAGCGCCTCAGGCAGCCTAAGCACTGCTTGAGAAAGTCACACACCGGTAAGGACTCGAGCACCAATCCCCGTTCCTGTGTCCTCAGCCACAGCCAGCTCCTCTCAACACATAAACATAGTCCCTGCCTGGCCCAAGTCCCTGCTTCATCTCCCAGGTGCTGGGTGGTCCTGGCTGGTCCCCGAGGATGGTCACTGCTCCAGGGACCGTTTCAGGATGTGTCCCCTGAGCTTTCGGCAGCTTAGGGTAGGGCCTACCCCTTTGGGACACCCCTCCTCTGGGATGTGGAAACCACACCAGGTTTCCATCTCCCTGACTGTCCCTCCTCAGGCTCCTCATCCCCTGTCCATTCCAAGAAGACTCACGGGCCCTGAGTACCCACCCACATTTGGCCCTTGTCTCTGCCATATGCTCTTCCTCACCACATGTGCCCACGCCTGCCAACACCGAGGGAGTCGCACACCCTTGGGCGGCCCCCGTCGCCTCCCATGGTCAAGCTCCTTCTCTGTCCTCAAGGAGCTGATGCATTAACTGAGCACCTACTATGTGTCAGGCCCTGTGCTTGGCTGGGGGTTGGTGATGCATGACAGAGGACGGTCGCTACCATCATGAAAGCTGTCACATCCCTGCGGGCAAGTCAGACAACATGGTGGTGAGAAACTGACAAGCATTAAGACAGGGGTCAGGAGGGCCCGTGGCGGAGGAGATATTTTAAACAAAACCTCTGCGTGGCTGGCGTGAGCATTCCAGACAGAAGAGCAGGTGCCAAGTCTCTGAGGCAGAGACAATGCCTGTGTATTCCCAGAAAGTAGAGGTGGCCCGTGTGGCAAGGGCCTGGGAAGTGGCCACTGGCAGCAGGGCAGAGCCAGTGTGGAGCCAGTGGGCTGCTGATCTAATCCAGATGGGAGATGCAGGCTATGTGCACAGGCCAGGGCGGTAGATGAATACCCCACCCGGAGGACTACACGTGGGGTAGTGGGGTAAGGGCCCTGTCCTCCCTATGGGCTGGGCCTTGTGAGTCAAGGCCTGGTTTCATCCCCAGAGTCTGCTCTCCTCTCTGCAGTGGGTGCCTGGAGGCAGTGGGAAGGGAGGAAGGTGAGGGATGAAGGTGTCCTGGTTTCCACCCGTTGGGTGAGGCCGTCGATCAGAAGGGCTTCATCCAGCACCTGACCGCCCACCTCCACCTTTGCCTCCAATACAAACCAACCTGGGCAGCTTTCTAAGCCACCACTGACTGCCCAGGCCACACCCCCAACCAATGAAGTCAGAAAAGGAGGAGGTGGGGGGGTTGCCAGCTGGCTTCAGTGGTTTCAAGACAAGGTCTCAGTCTGTTGCCAAGACTGGAGTGCAGTGACAGGATCTCAGCTCACTGCAACCTCTGCCTCCTAGGCTCAGGTGATGCTCCCACCTCAGCCTCCCAAGGAGCTGGGACTAGAGGGGCGCACCACCACGCCTGGCTAATTTTTTTATTTTTTGTACAGATGGGGTTTTGCCACATTGCCCAAGTTGGTTTCGAACTCCTGAGCTCAAGTGATCCTCCCACCTCGGGCTCCCAAAGTGCTGGGATTACAGGCGTGAGCCACCGCACCCGGCCTCCTCAGTAGTTTTTTTTTTTTTTTTTTTTTTTTGAGACTGAGTCTGGCTCTGTCGCCCAGGCTGGAGTGCAGTGGCCGGATCTCAGCTCACTGCAAGCTCCGCCTCCCGGGTTTACGCCATTCTCCTGCCTCAGCCTCCGGAGTAACTGGGACCACAGGCGCCCGCCACCTCGCCCGGCTAGTTTTTTTGTATTTTTTAGTAGAGACGGGGTTTCACCGTGTTAGCCAGGATGGTCTCGATCTCCTGACCTTGTGATCCGCCCGTCTCGGCCTCCCAAAGTGCTGGGATTACAGGCTTGAGCCACCGCGCCCGGCCTGTAGTTTTTAAAGCTCCCTAGTGATTCCAGTGCATGAGGGACAGGGGGCTTCCCATGGTTATGCAGAGGAGAGGAGGCCTCTAGAGAAGAAGTGGAAATGGGCCCCCAAGTTACTGTTTCTCCAGGCAGGGTCCACAAGCCACCTGCACCAGGGGCATCTGGACTTCAGGGCAACAACTTGGCTCCCTGGATGCCCCTACACCCCAGCCTGGGACCTAGGATGTCAGGCAGGCGTGGGAATCCGCATCTCCAAACTCCTTACAGATGCTCTTCCTGCCCGCCAATGGCAGAGCCTGCCAGAGCCCCTGCCTGGAGATAGGAGATCAGCCCCAAGACAGGAGGCCTGAGGGCTTGTGAAGGAGCAGGAGGACAGGGAGGCAAGCTCAGAGGGGCCTGGCTCCTGCACAGGCCGCAGTGGGTCTGCCTGATGTAGGTGCTTGGGGGGCAAACGGGGCCCCTGGGATGGGGGATGGGATGGAGAGCGTGCAGGTGGGAGATACGGGGAAGCAGGAAGGAGGAGACCGACAGGGAGGAATGCAGGACACAGAACCCAGGAGTAAGATGCAGGGCTGTCCCAGAGGCCAGTGCA